ACCAAAGATAGACTTTTTCTTTTTAGGTCTCTAATACACTGTGCAAACAGTTTTAATCTTTTCAACATGTAAATAAATAAATTTATTGGAAAATTTGAGCTAGTTATTATTTCTACTAATAGATTTTAGGGAAGAACATTTTAAAAATCAATTTTTTGTGAGCATAGATTTTAGTTTTTGTTTCTTTTATATAATAAAAAGTTTTAAAACACTTCTCCCTACTTGCTGTTGGTTGTTACATCAATAAATTGCTTAGAATATTTCTTTTTCCCTCAAAAGAAACCATTTTGAAGACTGAGACCATGGAGTTTTATATCTGAGGATAAAGGAAATCTTTGCAGAAGTCTGTATTTTATATAGCAAGTAAGTAAATGTTTTTACCCACCATCTGAAATTTAGTGCCTACCACAATTTGAGTAGGAAAATATCAGTAAATTTTGTCAATGAAACAAACAGCAGACTGTTTATCTTGAAAAGATGAGAAAAAGCCCCTCAAATGCCATTTCTTTATATCAAAGCTTTTTTGTATTAACATTGAAATAGTTGACACATGTAGTTTCTATCAGAACAGAAAGACATTAAGTACTTTCCAATAAAATGGTGCTCCAGGATAAATCAGGAGTTGAGTGATCAGAATTATCTTTACGATCTTAAGTGTACATTCCTTTTGATGATACTGATCACATTTTAGAAATGGCCTAGAATTTTGCTTTTGCAGATCTTGGGATTCTTAAAAGAACTATATTTCCAAAACGAAATAGAGAATTCCATATTCTAGTTGCTACTTAATGGATTTTAAATAGTCGCTTTACCCATTTTCCTGAGTTTTCAAACATACAAAAATGACTGATTTTACGGAAAACTAGAATAAAGCATCTAAAGAGACCTCCGTAACTTAATAATTATCTTTAAGTCGTAAAAGGAAGAAGAAATTTTCAATAAGCGTACAATAATTTTACATATTAAAACTAGATACGTGAGTGTAAAAACGTGTCCACTGATAATTTTCAAAAAATAGTCTTTATTCATAAGTTAATACTGCATGTGAAAATTAATCTCAAGTTGAGATTACTAAGGATTTGACAGAGAAAATATAGTAATATCTTGGGGAATGTTAAGAATACCCAAATAACCATTAGTTAATATAAGGGCAAATTTACCTTTGTCCTTGAAATTTATGTGGACAATCTTTTTATCTTTTGGTGTTTGCTTATTCTATTGATACAAATAGGTGATAAAGATACTATTTTTATTGCCTTTGCTTTAGATTAATTTTTCCTCTCCAGTCCTTTGCAATTTGATCAAATTTGTGTTTATCATATGTGAAAGAAAACGGAATGTTACACCTTTAACTAGTGTTTGAAAGACAAAACACGCCATGCAAAATAATCAAAACATCTTTTACAGCAAGTGTCTTCTTTTTTTTTTAGTAACGTATTTTGCTCAACAGCTTTTATTTATTTTTATTAATTTCAGAGAGGAAGGGAGAGGGAGGAAGAGATAGAAACATCAATGATGAAAGAGAATCATTGATGGTCTGCCTCCTGCACGCCCCCTACTGGGGATTGAGCCTGCAACCCGGGCATGTGCCCTTGACTGGAATCGAACCCGGGACCCTTCAGTCCACAGGCCTACACTCCATCCACTGAGCCAAACCAGCTAGGGCTACCCCAAGCTTCTTTAACACAAATGCCGATGTTAGTTTCCTCTATGCAAATTATTGTAATTCAGATGTGGTTGGCACTTATAAAATTTGAGAATTGGGCCTCTTAAGACACAAACGTATGTGAAGTGTGACGTAGGTTAGGTATAACATGGCAATAAATTTATAGTGGCCTACCAGAGGTGTAATTTAACCCATAAAATAAATGAACGGTTTAAGGTTAGAAATGTTAAATGAAGATTTTTACTTTTTTAGTATTTATAGTAAAATCTAAACGATGTAGTAATTTCTACTCGTCTATTGGAATACAGTGCTTCCTTTATCACCAACAAGATACAGGATTATAATCGATCACATTTTAAGGTTTTCATGTACTTCAGCTGAATTTCATAATAGTGCTTATATTCATTGTTTCGTTAATTGGGGCTTGAACCAAGCTTGTATAATGGGCAATAATAAGTTTGATGGACAAGAATAATGGACACATGAAGACAAATATAAATGTAGGTACTATTATTTTAAATTACTATATTTCACTAGGAAAGTAAATTACTTAGTTAAATGCTATTTTCTGCTTAGCGGATCAAAGTAGTAAATGTTAAATATTTACTTTTAATTGAGCATTTTTAACCAATTCTTGAATCCAAAATCACCCGATCAAGTTGGTGATTAGGTTGGATTTGCGTTTGTTATCATGGTAATAGCTGTTTAAAAAATTATCTGAAGTTCCACAGAAATGAAAGAAGCCATGCTCATAGTTAATTATACATTTTTTTTTAAACCATGGCACAACACTTAGAGGCTAGATTATGTGAAATAGATAATTTTGAATATAAACATTTTTTCAAGGTTAATTTACTGTTTCTCAGTTTCTTAATTATTAAGATACCGGGACTGGGACAACCAATGAATTTACTCTTTCTCCTGTCTGTTTTAATTCTTTGTTGAGAGGCATAGCATAAGCGGCAAAAGATAATTTGAGGACATCTCTCTCTTCTGCATTAATGAAAGGTAGAGGTGTGTGATACAGTGGAAAATACAACAGATTCAGCAATCAAGAGACCCAGCTTCTAATGTAAATTAGCCCTGTAATGTTGACCTTTTATTCAGTGTACACCTTAGTCTCCTAGTTTTATTACAAAGTATTTGGAGTTTACAATCTCTTAAGATACCATTTAGCTCTTAATTTCTGCTATAAAAATAATAGGAGTGTCTGTTTCTCTTACAAAAAGTGGAGAATAGTTTTGATAATTTTTGCATCGCAAATCATGTAGTTCTGTGGTGACACTGTTTGAATAAGACGAGACCCGTGCAATCATGTAACGGGCATTCTTAATTTTAGGAATTTCCAGATATTAAACAGTATATATGAAGACATTGGAAAATCGATCTTAATTTGTTTTTAAACAATTAAGATTTAGAATGCTGTAGTAAAAAGCATTATTTGGAGTTTTGAAAATAATTATTCGATCAAATATATTTAATTTTGAAAATAATTATTCGATTAAATATATTTAAACTTTAGGCCCTGGTCGGGTAGCTCAGTTGATTAGAGCACCGTTCCAATAGCCAGTTTCAGGTTCGATCTCCCCAGAGGACACATACAAAAAGCAATCAACAAATGCATAAATAAGTGGGACGACTCTCTCTCTCTCTCTCTCCCTCTCTCTCCCTCCCTCCCTTCCTCTCTCTCTCTCTCACCCTCTCTCTCTCTCTCTCCCCCTCCTCGCTCCTTCCTTCCCTCTTTACATTAAAAAAAGTTTATCATATCCAATGAAACATTTGCAGCTGATCATTGGGATTATCAATGATAATACCTGGCATAATTAACTTAAGAAATTTCTATATTTAGATATCATTGTTTTACCAGCTACCTTCCCTTTACAGATCGAGTGGCTTAATTCAAACTTTTGATTTTCACTTTGGCTGTTACTTCTGAGTGTAAATTAACCATTAAAATTTAAATGATTATTTTTACATAGCATTTAAGTAGCATGTTTTCTTACAATTTGATAGTTGATTTAAACATAGTGTAAAGCTAGATAGTTTTGTTTTTTGAAAAACAATTCTATGCTTTTGAAGCTAAGCCATTTATATGAAATGTAATATTTACCAAACAATGAATTATATATGTGTACTAGATAGTAATCATAATAATTTTAATTTAGACTATCATGTTAGATATTTTGCTTAACTTTAATGGTTTCTGAGTTGTCTTGTGGCAATTTTCTAATGACTATCACTACCTTATTTTTGTGGAAGACATTTTATATTTCATAGTGTTCTCTGATCTTATTCTTAGTTTAAATGTTAAAAATTGTTTGAAGGGTTTTAAAAGGTGACAAATATTATAAGAAAAGCACAAATGGACTAATGATGATAATGTAAGACTTGACTAAAACTGTCTTGGCCTTTTATTATAAAAGGCCCAGCTAGCAAAATGGTTATTTACATGGCACCTATAATTTCATATTCAATGAGAATCTATAATACTGCAAAATATTAAAGATAGGTAGGAACGTGAGCAAAATTATCAACTTGTATAGCCTGCTTAAGCAGACCTTGGCTGCTTCCCTTTCAAAGGACGGCGCAAAGCACTACTTCGTAAATTTTGGGAAGGAGCCAGTATGATAGATTATATTTGTGTTAGCACAAAGTGAGTTCCCGGTCCTTTTCTATATTTGGTGGAGGCTAACCCCAGAGGTACATGCTTACATTGGTAGGTAGCTTTTTGTATAAGCACATTACCAGACCAATGTGACATTTCTTTCACCAGTATTCCTTAAACCAGTTACACCCTTCTCTTAGGAGTTATATAAGTTTATTTTACTTGGATGATTTAAATTTTGTCTTTATTCAGAAAATCCTCTCTTCCTTATAAAGTCTGACTAAATTGGAAGCTTAAAAATAAATAATTCCGTTTCTTATAAATTGCTTTGTTACCCGGTGGGAGGATATTTTTTGGCACCTTACTTTTAGAGGTAATTTTGAAGCCAATTTTTGCTGTATCGATTGATTAGTCAAAATGACTAAAGGAATTTTGACTTGGTAAGAAAATCAGGAGCTTGCTTTATAATTTGAAAATTTGAAATCATAGCCTGGAAAAACATTTGGGTAGCTAAGCTTAACCTAAATCCTAAACAGTGCTTTGGCTTTCTAAAAATTTTTGAATTGCTATACTTTGATGCTGAACTTCTAAACAGCTTTTTTGGGTAGGTCAACATATTGGGATTATTATAATCATGCTTTGGAGCAGGAGTGACTTAAAATAGTATTTAACCTATATTCAGAAGATATTTGAGATATAGGAAACAACTCCATGTTTTACAGAGACATAGCATAAGGGGCTATGCTAAGCTAAGCAGACACAGTTTTTATTGAGCATCCACTATATAATGTTTACTTTATGATAATCTTAACTAGTGAAAAGCATGGATATGATATTTTTGTTATCAAGTATATATTTTAGAAAGGATTTGAGTTGAGTAGATCAGTACATTTAGTAAAAATAGTTTGAAATTGTGCCTAAGGATTTCTTTCCAACACTTTACCTTAGAATAGTGTACATGATAATTTAAAATAATATCCTGTATAATAAAAGCCCAGTGACCAAATAGTGGAATGACCGGTCGACCGCTCATTATGACACGCACTGACCACCAGGGGGCAGACGCTCAACGCAGGACCTGCCCCCTGGCGGTCAGTGCGCTCCTGCAATGGAAGCGCTGCTCAGCTGACAGGGATGAGCAGTGTTCCCACAGTGGGCCAATCCCCGCAAGCTACGCCCCCCACCAGTGCATGAGTCCTATGCACCGGGCCTCTAGTGACAATATATAAAGTGAGAAAACAAGACCTTGTAGGTAGGTAATGCAAGTTTTCCTTTAGAACTTTTAAATGTAGACAAATGAGAGACCAGAAGATAAAATAATTTTATACTATTAAGTAGTGATGTTGGCTCTGCTAAACAGCTGGGTCTCAACTCTTGCTATCCATTCAGTCTACCTGGGGGATCCCAAATTTTTGCCTTCTCTGTTGGAGTTCTTGGGGACTGTGATTTAGACATTCACTTGTTTTTATAGTAACTCATTTTACAGGTGAGTCTCCTGTACAGCCAAATTTAAGATCCTCTGCGGTAAAACTTTCTATCTTCTACTTGTTTATATACATACACGTGTCTTGGGCTTCTGGCGAGTGATCCTTACAAGATGTTTCTGAATAAATCATGGCATATTAATACTATTTTTATTTTTTTCTACGCATAAAATTATATTCCTTTTGTTTTCTACAGAAATGTGAATCCTGAGACTGAATCTCTAAAGGGCCTGTACAACGTAATAGATGTTGGTGGAAGCATTTAGTAAGTTTACTCAATTTACATCTTTTTCCTGTTTTAATTGTAAATATGACTTTGGAAATTTTGAGTACCTGAGTCAGAATTGTAAAAACCATAGGGATTTAGTGAAGCTCAAAGCAACACAAAAAAATAAAACCAGCATGGTTAGATGTGTGTGAAGTTTATTATTTAAATTTTGCTTATTAATTTATTCTAACTTATTATTTCCTACTTTCTTCAGTTAAACTGAGGCAAGAAGTACAATGCACAGAAACCCATAGTTGAACATGCTTCTAACCACCTTAGATCTGGGTGTTGGTAAACTCCCCCAATTTTTTAAAAGTAAAGTTTTATTGGAACATAGCTCTGCTCTTTCATTTATACATTATCTGTGTCTGCTTTCCCACTACAACTGCAGAGTTGAGAATAGTTGTAGTTAATGGTCACAAACCCTAAAATAGTTACTGTCTTGTCCTAGATCCATCTCGATTGTCAACTTGACCCTACGTATGTAGAAATCAGAAGCCCTTGGTTTCCCTATTGGTAATAGAACATACTTTTTAATGGATGTTAGTGTAGTTATGCTAATAAATTAATTAATTCTGAACTTCCCTTTTTTGAAAGCCTAATAATAATTTCTTCTGACAGTGGGGTTATGCTCTGATATTAGAAGACTTGGTAACAATTACTATGGAGTAGTTTTTCAAATTCCCAACCTGAGAAATAGTGGGAAAGAATTAGTGGTAAGATTGTGTAAAGGAATTTGGATGAATTCTCAAAGGAATTTATTACTGGCAAAATTTTACATATGATAATTACATACTAGCTGTTTGTTAAAGACACTTATTTTTGAATCACATTTGAAATTTAGATTCTAGATAATTTTTTATTCTAATTATTATTTCAACTTCCATTGTATAAGTGGCCATTAAGGCCTGCAAAATAATAAGTTGTTTTGTTGGGTTTTTTTTGATGGGAGTTGTGAGGGCAGAGATGAAAACTTTCCTAATATAGTACAATTATTGACCTTGTCTTATCAAATATTTTGAAGAGATATTGCCTGGCATATAGTGGATGCTCAATAAATACTTATTGATTTATTATTATATATAGTGTCTATTAAATATTTATCAAGTAGTGTTTTGGGTCTAATAAAAAACCAAACTGAAATTCATTATTGAAACATTAGTTTTAATACTTTATTAATTTTTTCAGTGTGCCTGAAAGCTAAAACCTTGGACTCAGTAACAATTAAAATTGACAAGAAACTACAACTCTCAATCTCTTAAGCAGGTTTAGTCGACTATTAAACTTATAATAGGGGCAATGGGGAAGATTTCATTTGATTACAAGACCTTTAAGATGATTAAGTTATCATAATGAACAGTTGGCTGGTTTTTCTCAGATCATTTTGTAGTTAGTTTATTAAGACTTTTTATTTTTTAATTTCTTTAATTTTATTGATTTCAGAGAGGAAGGGAGAGGGAGAGAGAGAGAAACATCAATGATGAGAGGATCATTGATCGGCTGCCTCCTGCACGCCCCCTACTGGGGATGGAGCCCGAAACCCAGACATGGGTCCTTGACTAGAACCGAACCCAGGACCCTTCTTGATAGAGTGTCAGTCCCCAGGCTGATGCTCTATCCACTGAACCAAACCTGCTAGGGCAAGACCCGGACTTGTTAATATACTGTAATCCTATAAAGGATTTGAGCTCTTACTGGGTAGTGAGACAAAATATGTGAGTTTTCTATTAAATGTTTTCAAATTAAAGACCAATACAAAGAATATTGAAATCAAGCCATAAGCACCAAGAACAAAACCTTAATTAATTACATGATGGGAAATACCAGTTTCTGTTCTGGATTATAATTTTATATCCACCTATTCCTTTGGTTTTGCAATAAGTGTTCCAGTTTTAAGATGATTTACTAAATTGTGGCATTATTAGAGTCCCCTGTTTTTAAAATTAAGAACCATTAATTACTTCTTTGTCTTTGTATTTCTCCCTGTACCCCACATTTCTGTTGCGATTAAAAATTGGGGTTTGTTGGGAAGTAGAGATGAGGAGATTACTTCTTTTGGGGGAACATCTCATAAACTCAATTCTGTAATGAACCATTTACTTGCAGTTGAGTTAACAATGCTTTATTTTACAATGTCTCTGTTTTTGGAACAAATTTACTGGATCAGAATTGAAACAGAAGATCTTAATTTTATGGGTTTGTTTTTTTTTGATGTACAGGATTGGCGAATTTTAAGAGGTAGCAATTACTTCCTACTCTCTTAACATAGTAGCCTTTACCTTTGCTTGTGGGATTTAATTTAGAACAAGCAATTTTCCATAAAAAGAAGACATAAACTAGTGAACATCATAGTGAAAACGTCTAACTTTCCATAGTATGAGCTTGAAGCTTACCTTTTATGTGAAATAAACAAAAGATCTGGGTCTCTTTGATAATGTTATTCTAGATCAAACCATCATCTCTCCAGTATGTCTACAGCCATTTACACGTTATTGGAGAGACATAGAGTAGTAGGGCTTTGATATCAAAACTCTACTCAGTTTTTTTGTACTGATGTTATTTCAGTGCAACACTAAATAGTCTTTTTATTTTATTTTATTTTTTTTATTTTTTTTTTAAATATATTTTATTGATTTTTTTACAGAGAGGAAGGGAGAGGGATAGTTAGAAACATCAATGAGAGAGAAACATAGATCAGCTGCCTCATGCACACCCCCTACTAGGGATGTGCCCACAACCAGGGTACATGCCCTTGACCGGAATCGAACCTGGGACCCTTCAGTCTGCAGGCCGACGCTCTATCCACTGAGCCAAACCGGTCAGGGCCTAAATAGTCTTTTTAAAGCAGAAAGTGTTTTAAGTAATTGACTCCATGATTCTATGGATTCTTCAGAGATTTCATTACTGTTGGATTATAAGTTATGTGAATTTAGTAAGGTTAGTTTGTAGGTCCCCAAGTACTGTGATTATCGTGGTATATCAGAGTAAAAGCTAACATTTATTGAGGTCTTTATATATGCCAGGTAATATAAATGCTATACAGATACTATCTCATTTAAGCCTTACTACTGCTACAGGAGGTAGGTACTGCTGTTACTCTTTCACAAATGAACTGGATTTTGTTACCAAGAATATTTCTAAGCTCAAAGAACTCATGCCTTCTTTCTTTTTAATTTTTAATGTAACTTCGCTTACTAGCAATTTTAGGTTTTGTAAGAATTTGGAATTCCATGAAAATGAATGGCTTACTCCTAAATCCCCTACTTTTAGGTGCTTTGATGCCTGACTGAGCACTTTTACTTATTATATTAATAAGATTCTTACTTTTGGCTTTTGATTGACTTTAAGGAGTACAGATTGATCCTGGTTTTTAATGTTATGGAAGTATCTGCTTTCTCTTTTAGCACTTTTTTTTTTCAATTCCCAGCCCCCCCTTCTTTTTTACTATATTAAATATCTATTTTATTTTTATTATACAAGCTAGTGATTTTGAGTAATTTTGGAATGCTTTTAATCTCATTAGGTTTGTTTTTTTTTAATTTAAAGAATAATGGGCTTTTATATAAAGTCCTGGATAAATTTACCTCTTACTCTGTGGCAGAAGAAAATAGAGCATTGATTTATCATTTCTTGTACTAAATTGAATAAATTGCACCTATAGACATCGAAATGATTGTAACTTGATATCAATGCTTTAGTTTCATTGTTCATCATAGTAGTATTTACTTCCCCAACTTCATTTAGAGCTTGATTTTGCATCAAAACAATAGAGATTGGGGGAAAATTGGTTTATAATGAACTCTGCAAGAAGAATGAAGGTATTTTTTTATTCCTATAGTTCTATATAGAAGTGTATATCCCTTAACTCTTAAAGGAATGAACAATTCAAATGGAAGATATTTTACTGATGTGAGGAATGAATGAGTTTCAGGCTGGAGAGAAATCGGAAAAATAAATAAGGAGAAATACTTTTGTTTATTACTGATTTTGTGACACTCATTTTTAGTTTTTTAAAAAATATGGATGGTAGTGTTTCTTGGTTAACCAAATAGTTTATTAAGTAGATTTTTTTATTGTATACTAGAGGCCTGATGCACGAAATTTGTGCAAGGGGCTCGGGTTCATCCACCGGAAGGACATCTGGTCTAATTAGCATATTACACTTTTATTATTATAGATTATTATAGATAGTAGACAACAAATTTTAATTATAGTTTAGGATACAAGGTATTAACTACCTAATGAGCAAAAATGCTATTATACTTAATAACCTCTTAGTCAGTCACCCAGACTTTATAAATTTAGTTTGAGAGCTGCATAATTTACAGAGAAGACCAGGGCTAAAACTTATATTTGCAATTATGTGGATCCTGATTCATCAGGATTATTTATTTAATGTTAAAATCACTTGGCTTCCCACTTATCCCTTTAATTCAAAGTAGTTAAGTAATGTTTTTGTCATTCTCTGAGAAACATTTGATATTTTGGCAGTGGGAGTATTTTATTTGTATATAATTTGCAATCTTACAGCATTTAATGGCAAATATCAAATAAGCCAAGCTGACACTTTGCCTTTTTTATCTTTTTTCCCCCTAGTGGCTACATATTTCCAGCATTCTCAGATATGTAGCTAAAGATAGTGGCATTTTTGTTGTCTGTTTGCGATATTCTAAGCAAAATTAACATCTGTTAACTGGAAAACTATGCTGTGATTGATCCACTGCTTTAGTTTCTTTTATTCCTTAGGATTCTTTTACATAATTAGTGTGTGTGTGTGGTTTTTTTTTGTTTTTTTTTTTTGAAGAAGAATATTGGAAAGTTCTTCATTGAGATTTAAAATCCATAGTGTTGCTGTAATTTAGCTTTCCAGGATTTTTGAATTTGGATTTTTGTCTTCTACAAACACTAAAACAGTATCACATTTAACTAGTAAAAATTTATCTCTTTACTGTTACTTTTTGAAAAAAAATATATTTTTATTGATTTCAGAGAGGAAGGGAGAGGGGAAGAGAGAAATAGAAACATCAATGATGAGAGAGAATCATTGGCTGCCTTCTGCACGCCCCCCCAATGGGGTTGAGGCCGCAACCTGGGCATGTGCCCTGACTTGGAATCGTACCATGACCTGGTTCATGCTTAACCACTGAGCAAGCTGGCCAGGCTACTGCTGCTTTTTTTATGGCTACATGTGTATCTGTGATAGTAAAAGAACCTTGTTACTTGTGTAGTCTTTGATACTCTCCTTGACAAGTTGTGTGTAGTACATACAACTTTAAATAAGACAGTTTCATAGTTTTAAAGCTGTTACAAAATTAAAGCTTTGTGTATGGTAAGAGTGTCTTCAAGGTGGGTGGATGTTCTCTGTTTGAAGGGAATAAGATGATCGGTATTCCAACAGCGTTTTTTCTTTTAATGTTTTCATCAAGCACCCACAGCTTGAAGAGTCTCAAATGGACCCTACCGCTGAGAAATCAAGATGGCAGTCCACTATGGGGAATAGAGGAAAATGGATTAATACAAGAGTGCTGTGCTAATACACAACCAGGGTTCTTTTAACATGGATTTCATGAAATGAATGAAGACAATAGGTTTCTTACCCAACACAGATGGACAGTGGATTTGACTTTCTAAAGACTTTTTGTATCATTAAACAAGCCCATTTTTGACATTTGGAGATGAAAGATGGCACGTTAACAGATCATAGTTTGTATGTCTGGAATTTTTCTCAATTTGATTTGTATGAATATGACCTTGTGAAATGTTAACTTTAATAAAATTTCGAACACTTTAAAATTTCTCAGTTTGGGCTTTTTTTTTTTAAGCTGAAGATTCATTACATTAAATGTGCGCCGTAAATAACAATTTGGCTTTTACAGTTGTCCAGTAGTGAAGTGTACTGAATAAAGCTGGTAAAATGGCAATGGTGTGCTGGAAAATATTTTACGTCGTTGATTAAGATTTATTTCCACCAGTTGTGGAAATTTATTTGTGCTTTAAGAAATAGGCGTTTGGTTAAATGCCGTTTTATGCTTTCTTGAATATCTTGCAAAATAACCAGTCAATAGGTAATAATAGAATCTTTAACTTGCCACATGATTTTAATGAACGTTTAAAACAAAATGCATTTTGTCTCAAAATTCAGGATGAGTGATAACAGTATTTTTCTGAGTTTTGTGTTGATAAAAAGGTCTTTTTTATCTGCACTTCTTAATATTGAAAATAAAACATCTTGCGATAGAATATTCATCTGAACAAAACAGATGCCTCTTATTGTCTAGTTAATGTTAGGGGAAGAAATGTTGGATTTATTAGGGAATGTCCTTTAAGATATTCATAAAAGGCCTTAAAATTTTGGTGGCAATGTTGTCTATAATATATGTTATGTAAATATAAAATAGGAATATTCTGTATTTTTCTTATTCTCTACATTTAGGAATTCAGAATAAGTGAATCACACCATGTCACAGATGACATATTTGATTTCCAGGTGAATACTGGCATTTTATTGATAATCAACTGACACTAAGTTTATAAATGTGTGATAGGCTTTATTTGGGTAAACCAAATCAATTGTTGATATTTTCCCATTATACATGGAATGTTCGGCTTGATGTGTTTTTGTGTGTGTGTGTGAGAGAAAATAGTTAATCATACTATGATTTGTGATTAATGTCAAATACTATATAGCACACATATTCATTATCAGTACATGTGCAATATGTGTTCTCATTGACTGGTTCGAAGTGGTTGGTTTGTATATATCAAAAGTGGAATTTTGGATTCGGATTTTGGTACAAAATCACCTTTTGTAGAAAGTGTGGAATTGAAACTGGGTTTTGATTATGGCTTTTACATTGACCTAGATGCAACTTGTTGCTTTTGTTGGGTATAAAGCGAAAGTGGATATCAACATTGAGGAAAGGACATGGTTCTGGAAGATTATAATGTCGAGTAGGGAAAGTTTATTTGATTTCTTTTTTTGATGTGTGAATATTTTCTTGGGTGCTTCTTGAGAGAAAAAGTGTTGAACAATTTGTTTCTGGCATTAGTATTAATTTTGTTTTTCATAGATGTTATGGTTTTGATATTTAGGAGAATTTGACCTGTGACATTACTTTGATAACTTGTTGTCAGATGTGACCTATAAACTATTGTCAAGAATCTGAACATACTTAGAAATTGATTTGAAATACAAGGGAAGAGTTGGGGATATATGTGCTGTGTTGGTTTTGGAGGTCCAGTTTCTTGGATTTGTTATTTGAAAGGACAATGGTGGTTCCATATTCTCGAGTTTAATAACTTTGTTTTGCCTGAATCAATGTGGGAAGTAAATATATTGTGATCTTGAGATTTGGGGAGGGGGTGTAAAGTTGGCAGGGTTATAGAATGGGTTAAAGAATTTTGTGAAAGTACAAAGAAAAATTGAAATTCTCAAATAAAAACGAGTTGCGTTAATTTTTGCGCTAATGCAACTGAACACTAGGGAGGCGCTCTTGAGTTGTACCCCTTTCTTCCAGTTGGGATGGAAAATGCCCCCTAATTTGGTCTTTAGATAATTTTAGGCTTCCTAAAGAAGTCCAACTGGAATTTAATCTGTGAAATTGAGATTTTGCTTTTATTTAGAAACCATTCTACCCTGGGTGGGGTTAATTTTTAAAAACGACTAATATTAAAATGAGCTTAACATTTTCTCAGAATGATCCCTTTTTCAAAATGGCTTTATAAAACACCACTTCCTGCCCAGAAAGGAAGTTATTTTAGCCCAAGGACTGAAATATTTAGCAGATCTTTAGACAAAAGGAACAAATTACATTTCTGTCTGGCTTAAAAAGGGTGCTTGAGCCAGAGGGGGTTAAGAAACCCTCCCCCCTTCCCCTGATGGGGTGGTCTGGAGGGGCAGGGAGGTGTGGGGGTGTGGGGTCCTCTGGCTCCCTGGGATGGAAGATCTTTTTTTTTCTTTCTTTCTTTCTTTTTTTTTTTTTTTTGGTGGAGATGAAGGGGTGGGTCTATGGTACATCACCTGAGTTGTGGGGTAAATGGAGAGAGTGTCAATCAAAGGCAGAGCTCTCAGAGCTGGGAAGGAGGCTCTAGATGGCGGCTGTGCCTTAGAGAGAGCGCGCTCGGCTCCCTGCCTTCGCCTCACTTGACGCAACTTTCCCCAACTTTCGGGCCGCCCCAGGGGGCCCCCGCAGCCCCCTGCCTCTCCTGGAGACGGACTGGGGTCGATTGGAACCCCTTGGAGGGGGAAAAGCAGCTTTTGGGGGCTTTCTTTTCGTGCCTTGTTGGAAAGCAGCAGCCGTACTGGGAGCCCAGGTCGTTGTTTTTTCCAGCTTAGAAGCCATGGCGCACCTCCATTTTTGTGCGCTCTGCTAATGAGGTTTTTCCCCTCCCGTTCCCGTCTCGGTATTCATTGTTGCTTTATTTTTTTGGGACCCGTGAACAGATCGGAGGATTGTTTTATTTATTTTTCGGTGTTTTTTGTTTTTCACGGAGGATTTCGTTTTTTTATTTTTTAATGGTTTGGGACCCGGTCTATTTCTACCACTAGCCAGGACTCTCTGGCTTTGGACCTACTACATGGATCAGGTAAGTTCGTGATCATTAGTGATCATTGAAAGGATTTATAGCTGAAAGTTGGCTTTATTTTCGGGAAAGAGGAGAAATTCCTGGATGACGCAATAAGATAGAGAGCTTGTTATTTGTATCCAGTGTGTTACTTTGAGAAACTTTCCGTATTGATAAGGGATGATTCCCCCTGTTCCGTGTGTCCTGCCTTTTTTTTTTTTTTTAAAGGTAAAATTAGAAATAATTTTGTTTTTCGGTGCTTCACCGCTGTTGTATTATAACAATATCGTGACATGGTCAGGACTTTGTTCCTGGTAATAAAACCATCGATAGAAGCCGGGACCTTACCTCTCTTTCAACTTTTGACAGTAAATACCTGGGCACAGGACTTCAAAGCAAACACAGATTTCCCCTCCCCCTTAATATTTAAGAATTAAAAGATGATGAGAAATAAGGACAAAAGCCAAGAGGAGGACAGTTCGCCACACAGCAATGCATCGAGGTATGGAGCTATCAACTTTCTTTCTTTTTTCTTTTTTTTTCGGGGGGAAACCTCAGCTTACATTGTTTACCTTGACAGGCCAGGGTAGCTGTCTGTGTGATTTTAAGTATTTTACTAATTTGGGTTCGTTTTTTTAAAGCGTGACCTTGAGATTGCTAATATGCCACACCCTAATTTTTTGGTAGCAATTTATGAAAGTTGAGTTGACTTAAGGCCTCTTAGAGCAGTCGAAAGGTAAGGTACCTTTATTCGAGGGGGACTTTTCAGTAAACTGCAGTGTTTCTGACAATAAATTTCAGGTTTTAGGTTTTCGGGCTGTAGAAAAATGACCTTGTCGGTTTAGCCATTGCTGCATTGCACCATTTTACATACAAGGCAAATTTTTTTTCTTTGAAGAAACTAGGATACCCCAACTTGTAACCGAAGGCCATAGAGGAGCCTTGTGGTAGTAAATTATAGTAAATAGACATTTGAGAAAGTTATATGAATGAAAAAATGTACATTTTAAAGTGAAATTGCAAAAAGGACCCTTTGACTGATGCCTCTCAGTTTACATTTTTACTTCATTCTCTCTTTCTTTTGATACCTTGGACATTTTAAGACATTTTGATAGGATTTATCAAAACCTTGAGTTCGATGGTTACAGTTCCTGCATTTATGAAATTAAATCCGATCCCAGAAATCCAGGAGTCCTCTTTTAATATCCTTCTTTTCTGCTTTGTGATTGTGACTGAGATTAAAATTGTATATTTTACTTGTGAAATATTTAAGGCTCACATTTGCATGCTTATATTCAGACAATGCTCTTTCTGGTGGTAGATTGAGTAATATATGATCCTGGCACTTTAGTTATAGCTGCTTTACATTTATTGATTTATTTCAACAGTGTCTCCTGGAATGCTTTATCCTCGGAAGCTTACACATGTACTGTTCACATCATGATTTGTTTCACATTTGCTGGAGTGCCTTGTTAGTGACTAAGGAATAAAGCTGCTGAGATGTTTTGTATGATCTGTATATTAATTTTAAAAGCACATGCATGCATTTCTGGATGTGTGTGCTTAGAAATTGTCACGTTACGAATTTGAAATCTTGGAGTTAATAAGGATGTGATTGATTATATGATTTTTCTTTCTAATTTGGTTTTACTTTTGTAATCTTATATAATATGCTTTTTTACTCTCAGGATGGTGAATATGAAAGTTTTTAATGTGGTTTATTACAAATGATGAATTTTATTTGTTTCCTTAGACCTCAGGTATTTTGACCTTTGCTTTCACAAATACCTTTCCACATTCTTTGCAAATTGAGTTGTCACCTAGTTTGGACTGTGTCTTTTGAACTGAAATGCCCTTGTAATCACCTACCTTAGATTTAGGACAGAAAATTGCTCTATTAACCCCACACTGATTTTTTTTTTTCTGAAAAGTAATAGTGACTTGGAGAAACAGGAATCCTGACAAATGCTTGACAAATTACTAAAGATTCAGTACCTACAATGGATACTCCCTTGGGTGTGATTTTGCATAGTCTCACCTGGGGTTTGGCTTTCTTATGCAAGGTTTGTGGTTAACCTTGATCAAACTCTGCTTTCTAATTTAAAACAGTCAAGCAGTGGTTGTTAA